AAAGGACATTATAAGCGAATCAGGTTACACTTTTTTGAAAATTAACCTTTACATATCTTGCACATTTGCTCTAGAAATGGAGAAAAATATTTCAAAAGAGTTTTCATTAGGGTAAAAAGGATTGTTTACTCTAAGATATAAATTTTTGATTATTGAAGATTGCGTACGATGGCATATGGATTGATATGAATGAGCCGGCAAATTTTGGAACAAACGAAAAACATCCATGGTATTTCGATGAAGCCGACCATCCTAATGATGAACCCTTGCAATGTCCTAAGGAGGAGGGCAACGAAGATGCACATTGGGATATGCCACCGTATAAAACACAGAATGTGTGGGTCTTCGGGAAGGTAACGATATTTTCAATACCTTAACTCGATTCTTTGTGATTATTTGTTTGCGGCTTCTTGTCAGATATCATAAATGCTTTATTTGAATACGCCAGTGATTAGATCAAAATAAAATAAAAGTGGGGGTCTGTTGACTAAAATGAGAGCCAAATATTTAAGGGGGAGGTTTTAGGATGCTTATTTGGCCACAAAAACATTGTGTATGTCAGCGGTACAAGCTAACGGAACTCTACGTCATTACGATGTGAAGAGTCTTTACGGCTGGAGTGAATCAAAAATCACACAGCAAGGACTGTACAAAGCAACAAATAAAAGAGGAATTGTAATATCGAGGTATTTTAAAAAAGGAGAAAATATCGCACTAAAGCCTAACTATCACTTTTGTAAAATTAGCTAAAGCAGAATGATTAGAAACTTCTTCAGGTCTACTTTCGCGTCCAATGGACGTTATTGTGGTCATTGGCTTGGTGACAACTCAGCTACATGGGAAGATCTTCAGTCAGCAGTGATTGGAGCTCAAGAATTTAATTTATTTGGAATGCCGTATGTAAATCCCTCAAGGAACTATCAACAGCTATGGGAAGTTTTATGTTGATGCGTACATTTAGGTATATTGGCTCAGATATTTGTGGATTTAATCGCGACACCGAGGAGGAATTGTGCCTTAGATGGCATCAAATGGGTGCATTCCATACATTCATGAGGTTTGTGAAAACAGATCTCACTTTGACGCTTTTCTTAACGTATTACTTTCTTAAACTTTACCAATCTTTCTTATTTAATAATTCACCAATAAGTTCAAGGTAATTTCTTAAATAGCTAGATTTTGAGTACTAATTTTCTTCTTTATTTAGAAATCATAATGCACGCAGGCATATCGCACAAGATCCCGCACAATGGCCATCAGTGGCCGAGGCTACTAAGAAGGCTGCCCTATTCCGATACAGCTACCTACCCTATCTTTTCAGGTAGGTTAGGTAGTAGAAGGTAGTAAGAGCTGAAATACATTTTAGTCTGCACTTTGTCGCCTCCCTAGATGGAGGAACCGTTATCCGTCCGCTTTTCTATGAATTCCCAAAAGATAGAAGAACTCATGATATTAACTACCAGTTCCTATGGGGTAGTTCTATGCTTATCGCTCCTGTCGTGCACAAGGTGATTCGGTGACTTCTTCTCTTCATCAATTTTTTTCTTTCCATAATGATTTCATCCTTTAGGGAGCTACAAGTGTAGAAGTTTATCTACCAAAAGATGATTGGTATTCATTGTTCGACTATAATTACGGCCAATTAATTGAATATGGAGATCAGGCATTCCCCGCTCCCAGAACATCGCTTATCCCGGTTTTAGTCAGAGGTAGAAAACATAGTGGGCAATCTTAGGAAGAGAGACACAGAATTTAAATCTAGGTGGTTCAATATTACCTCGTCAACAACCCAATGTCACAACAGAATACACTAGAAAAAATGCATTCGAATTACTGATTGCTCCTGGAACAGTCGTCAGTAAGTTGCAGACTTCCTCACATTACAATCTTTACCTTAAAAAGTTTGTAGTTTATGCAAACAAACAATTTAAAATAGAA